ACAGAAAGGAGCTGCCAAGAATGATTGGCCAATTCCTGTTTGTAATGAGCCTGAAGAAGTCAGTTGTCCATGTAATAATGAAATCACAACCCCCAGGGCATTGAGATGTCAAGTAAAAGCTTGGACTACTTGGCAAAATATGTAAGGTGCCAAGACAAGTCCGAAGGGGAGGACCTCAAATTGATAAACCATCTAGAGATGAACAAACCGAAGATAAGGAATGAGACTGAGGTGATATTGATATATGTATGCAAGTGTATTATACATTATTTAATTTCTTAATTTAAAAGTAAATATTAAAAATAAATTCCTAAATACTAGTTTCTGTGTGTCACGTGGTATCTTGAATGTAGCTTTTGTTCAAATTATATGTTTTGATATCCAAATACAAAGTCTGTAGTTTCTTATGAATTAGAAACTCAAATTACTGATATTGACAAGCTAGAATATAAAATAAAAACCCCTTTTCTTTTTGTTGATATCACTATATTTAGCAAATCAAACACAGTGGGCCCACCCACTTCCATTTTTGGAAATACTTGCTTACTTACACCTGCTTCCCTCTATCATGTGTTTATAACCAATCAAAAGCTCAGAATTTCCCCCATGTGGTTTTCTCAGCCTCTTTAAAGTGGGAATTTCCCAAGATTATTTCTTTTGTCTACAATCTCAGAATGAAGGAGTAAGTGAAAATGTTGTTCAAAAAACAATATTTTTTTAGACCCAAATATAGTTTAGTTAGTAAGCCAAATAAATTACAGTGGAATTCTGCAATATTAGTACAGTAATTGATAATGTTTTGTTTTACATCCACATGCAAAATTTGGGCAAGGCTTAGCATGCAGGTACAAACTTCTTCACAGTCATAAGTAGTAGAGGTCATTGTTTTCTGTATTTCTTTATTTACTGTTCTTTGTGAATAGTAATATTTTATTAACATATATAATGTATTATAACCAAAATACGGGTCCACTAGAACAAAGCCAAGACAGGTCACTTTGTAAATAACAGTTCAAGTGCACCACATCATTGCAGCTTCTGTAATGTTAGTCAGACATGGATGAAAGCTCGATAAAATAAAAAGTATAAATATGTATAGATGTATGAGTTTTCAGCTACTTAGAGTAAACATTTGTGGTTTTGTGTTATAATTTGCAGTCATCCTAGAATGAAAAAAGCATGATTTATATCTATTTCCTAATTTTTACGTTCGTTATGAGGTCGGCCAAATTGACCAAACTCAACTGAGATACAATAATGAAAATAACAGATAAAATATAAAGTTTTTCTAAAAAAAAATGTTTGATAATTATCTGGAGGTTATAGAGTTTTTGAATGTGAAACTTAAATTTTCTGATGCATTAAAGTATTTTTAATTTTTAAATCAAAATTACTTTGCACATTGGATAGTCAACATTCGAGAAGAAAAAAGTGCACAAGTAAATGATTTCTTTAAAAATCTGTAAAATTTCATGAAGATACACATACTGTATTAAAATGTAATGTATGAAAACTAACAAGCACAAATGAGAAAGTTAATGGGTTACTGTAGAATCCAGCTCTACTGACTTCATAAAAACTGAGAAAAAAAAAGCTCAACCAAAGTAAAATATTGACATCTTTTTCTTTTTGATACTATATGGTAGTGTCTGTCTGTTTTTATTGATTTCGGAAAGAAAGAAAAAATGAATGAGGGGCTTCCTTAGATCCGCACTTGCTTATATAACATTTAAAGAATACGGATATTAATTCCCCAAAAAATGTAGGGTTCCAGTCCTCCTTTCCTCCAACTTTATGTTTGTTTATACAACAGTACATAATTTCTAGAAAAAAAAGGATGGTTGATGGTTCTGAAGAATACAATTATGCAATTATAAATTAGGAACATAATGTAATAAACACTAAATATACATTTTATTTAAAACTTAAGCAGCCATTGAGTTTGTGGTGGGTACTGCCAACCAATGGCTGATACCTGTAGTTGCTTTACAATAACAAAGGTAGGGTGAGCTTGTTTAGTGGTAATGAGAATTGAACCTGAAACCCTCAAATCACGAGGCACCCTATTCTTCATTCATGTAGCTTAATAACAAAAAATATAGGGCAATATTTTGATTACTTAGATAGTTACAAGTCGGGGTGGCATTTGGATGGTCAATTAACTTCACAAATACAGTCAAATATAATACATATATTTTTTATTTTGTATCTTAACTATATTAAATTTTATTTGATTTATTGTAAACAATTTAAATTACATGGAAGAAAAAGAGCCAGTTTATGGTTTGTCTCTAGCCTTATGACAACCAAAAAGTTGGAGCTAAATACAGCACTGCAATTTTGATGTTGTCAGTTGTAAATAAGTAGTATTAACAGTCATTATACTTAATAAGTATCTGCTTTGTTTTAATAATATGCCATTATGAAGTTATATTGCAAAGTTTAAAAATCAGTTATTGGCTTCATAAAATTGAAATATATGATAATACTGCATAGTACTTTATCATTCCCCTGTAAAGGTTTCAGTCAGTGAATAACATGTATATGTAATGCTTACAAAACGTTAAAAAAAAAGGTGAGAATTGTTAGGCTTAAATTGAACACTCATTTTTTTTAATTCCTTGGTAGAAGTATAATTCCAAGGTTCTCTTTTAAGGACCTAAAACTATTCAAAAACCTGTGCTAATATATAGGTATTAGTGGTAGTTAATACAGGTTTTAGATATTTGACCAATTGTTAATTGTTCAAAAAATATGTAATAATCAACTGGTCATTTGACTGGTCAGTTAACTGACTTATGCAGCATATTTTAAATTGTAGAAAGAAATACATATCTTAGTATGGTTTTGTGCAATAAAAAAATGGTAGTACAGTATTTCGAAACCAATTCAAGTTTTAGATTTGCATTTGTATGTTTGTATTGTATGTACAGCACATTTATTATAGTTTGCTTTTAAAAATTTATGTATTTCACTTGAATATTTTCAGAATTACCTGAACATTTAATTATCAAAAAAAAACATTAAATGTATTTTAGTTTTGCATTTAGTTATTAAGCACTTTTCATTTTTTTGTAATAGTTAACCCTACAACTACGATATGCTTCATTAAATTTCATTCCAGTAAAAATTCAATGGATAAAATTGTCAAAAAACTCGATAAGAACTTTCATAAAAGTATGAAGTTTGAGAAAAATAAATATTTGTTTTTCTACTATTTCTAAGAAAAATTTGTTATTTATTGTAGTTATTTGCACTCAGACTCTGAATAGTTCATCTGCAAGGTGATTTTCATTTTGAGTATAAAAATACTATTTATTATCGTAGTTTTCACATTTCACCTCCTAAATTAACAAAAAAAATTTTTATATGGTAAATATTTATATCACTAATTAGCTATTATCATCAACATAAAGTGCAATGAAATGCTTAAAATTAAGAAATATAAAATATGTACATACCTTTTAACCATTTGTTGAATAATCGTAAAATATCTTCTTCAAGTTATATGCATAATTTCAAATCTTTACTTTTTTACTTATAATTTATTTTAAATGTTTGATTTTCTTTTACTATTCCTTACTGTTTGATTATTTATGTTGACACACGTCAATAGGTACCTGTAGGTGATAGAATGATATGAACGGCCGAAATACCTTAGCCTCCTGGTCTGGAAAGTTCTCTTTATACATGTTTAGTAATGTAAGCCTTGTATAGTGAAGGAAGCTTAGGTTATTTTATAAAAATTATTAAACCTTTCAAATATGAATTTTGAAATACAAATAATGCATAATTAACTAAAATATAAAAGTAAAACTTAAATACAATTTAACTGTCTCTAACTATAACATATTTAGGTAAGAAACAACTGAAGTGCTATCATGAACAAAGCAGCCAACAATGGTATAGGCAGTTAGATCTACCCAAGGATGACAACTTGGGCCAATTTTGAAATAACTATTGTTGGAGATAGTGTAAAAAAAAGCTCTTTCTAAGACCCAAGGATGACAACTTGGGCCAATTTTGAAATAACTATTGTTGGAGAATAGTGTAAAAAAAGCTCTTTCTAAGACCCAAGAATGACAACTTGGCCCAATTTCAAAATAACCATTGTTGGATTATAGTATAAAATAAGCTCTTTCTAACAACTATAAACACATATGTTGAAAGTACATGCAACTTCTAAAGCTAAACACTAATTATAGAAGATGGGTGTGGCACCTGTCAGGGGTTGATAAAACTTGTATTTGGTTTCAAATGCATTCAATGAAAGAACTTTGAAATGGCAAGTAAACAACATTCTCATCTAGACTTGTATGTACATGACTATCCCCTTAGCTTCAAGCTATACAATATTTCAACATTGTTTATAACTTGTTTGTCATGTGACATAAAAGTGAGAAATTTCATTATTGCTTTTAATGTTTCTTTTGAAATAAAGGAATAAAACTAAGATAATATAAAACTTAGAACAAATGATGATAATAACTTCATTAAAGAGCATTGAGAATAAAATGGTTTAATTAAATTTTGATTGTAACTCGGTAACATATGGAGAAAGGAGTTTAAAAAGTACGTCATTGTTAAAGGGTTAATTGGTTTGCGTCATTGAAACAAAGTGTTCCTTTTTTTTGTAATGTATGAAGGCTGTAGATTTATATATCTTGTAATTTGTTTCAATATACAATTCTTTATATTTTATGCATGCGCAGCTACTCCATTTTTTTCATACAAATTCTTAATGATACTTCAGTCAGAAGTTTGAACTGTTTATGGGCTATCTGAATTTGTTGATGCTCCTTTTGGTTAAGCATCATGCTGCCATGATGTTCCATGCTTGCTGTAATGTTGGTCTACTGGATTTCTTATAGCCATTATATAGGAAGTATAAGACTCGTATCTCTGAAAGATAAGTAAAATATTTTTATGGAAATTGTGGACACTGTGTATCTATTTACACTAATAAAATATCTTGATGTATTTACTATTCTAAAACATAGGTAGCTTCAGTCCAGCTACTCCTAGAAACATCACAGAAAACTGTAAAGTGAAGAAAAAAACACACAAGAAGTCCCACCTGTACAAACAAAACGAGAAGGGGGAAACGCCCCTCCACATTGCTGCAAAACGTGGCGATGTGCGAAAAGTACGTTTTTTGATACGTCAAGGAGCAGACATCAACATCAAAGATTTTGCAGGTAAACGTTCTTGCTTACAAGTTTCATTCGTTGTTAAATATGTGATTTAAGATATGTTATTTGATAACAAAGGCCATATATGAATTGAATGAGAGTAATATCATAATAATCAAACTGACTGATGGCTAGGCTATTGAAAGTAATTTACATTTAAAAATTGACAAACACAGTTTTACCTGGTTTCTAATTATTACACTAGAAATCCTGTATAAATAGAAAAGGTTTTTTAGGAGTAAATTTACATAGTTTTTGAACTATTAATGTTGCAGTTATACCCTGACACACAATGATAGCCATTCAGTCCCTTCTTTATCTTCAGTTTCTTCATCTCAGGGTGGTTTACCAATTTTGGGCTCTCCCCTTTGGACTTGCCTAGGCTCCATACATGTTTTGACACATTGTTCAGGCCTTTGTTCATCATATTCATACTTTGGAGTATGGTTTCATTATTATATGGAAGACTGGTTACTTTAGCTCATTCCAAGCAGGAGTTGACCAGTCACACTCACCAACTCCTTTCTGTAGCAGCTTGAGTAGGCTGGTTGATAAAATTGGAGAAGTCGGTTCTTCGATCCCCCCAATACTTAGTGCATTTGGGGGTCTTCTTCAACACCAACATCAGTCGAGCTCTTTCCTTCTCCTTTTCACCTTAGTTCTACGGTACTTTTAATCCACCATGCTCTCTCAGCTCAGTCACTTACTGCTTGAGAGGTTCTATCGCTTTTCCAGATGCGGTTTTTCAGGACTGCATTGGTTCCCCTTGGTCTTGCCCATATGGGATACTTGCAGTGGATGCTTCACGAACAATGGAACCTTGCATGGAATCCACCACCAATTCCCTACCTCCTTCCCTGAGAGTCAATCTGCTGCAGTGGCTCACAAAGCACATACATCGGCAGGTGTGCCACTTCCTTCCACTGTGTCTGGATGTCCATCTGTTTACAGATGCTTTCCTTCAGGGATGGGGTGCTTGGGCCGACCACCATGAAGCTTCATGCCAATGTTCTGTAGATGAATTTGTCTTGCATATCAACGTTCTTAAACTTCTGGTGGTTCTTCGGGCATTATCTCACTTCCTTTCTCTTGTCCATCACCGTCAACTCTACAGTGGTGGCTCATATCAACCACCAAGGGGTATTTGGTCCAGAGATCTTTGTTTCCGGACCTTGGATCTTCTATACTGTGCCCAGGAACATCACATTCGTCTTTTCACATGTCATCTGCCGGGTGCTTTCAACCTGGTAGCGGACCGTCTTTCACATACAGATTTAACCTATCCCATGGAGTGATCATTAGATCCGATTGTTTTCAGAGACCTTTGCCTCTTATGGGGTTCTCCCCAATTGGATGCATTTGCCATGAACTTCAATACAAATTTGCCCCTCTTTTGGTCACCTGTCCCACATCCACAGGCTGTTGATGCCTTCAGCCAGTATTGGGGACCCTACCATCCATTTGCTTCATCGGATGATTTCTCAGTACACTTTACTCCTTGATCACACCCCATTGACTAGCACAACCCTGGTTTCCGAGGCTCCATTGTCTACTCCTTTCACCACCTACCTTTTTTCCAATGTTTTCCTCCCTTCTCCATATTATGTTAATCCAGAATTGAAGGAGAGTTTGAAGTAGTCCATGGGTACCATAAACAAACATTGCAGGCTCAAAATTATAATCTATCCAGGTCTAGGGCTTATCAAACTCTCTTAGGAATAACATTAGTAGACTTATTTCTTAATCTTAAGAACCTATCATTTTATTAATTAAACAAATAGCAGAAATCCCATGAATATTTGGAAGTCATTCCAGCTTTCTATAAGCTTATCCAACTATTCTCCACATCACATGATTGAATTCCCGACCCTAAGTCGTGAAGGCTTAGGCTAGGTCATGACTGAAACACTTCTTCAAATTTTCGTGAAACTAGTGTATGTACACTACACATGATGGATAACAGTTACTATAACAAATAGGCTAACACAAAGTGTTACAACCATAATTTCTTTGCTTGGGATTGAAACAAAAAGCCACTACTTATACTAGCAATTAAATTGCTCCAAATAAATTCTGTGACAAACCTTCAATATTTCTTGCAGTTATTTAAAGGACAAAAAGTATTTGGTGATGATAGATAGTTCTTCCATTTAAACCATTGTGTTTACCTGAGACTGTACAACAACTCCTGCCTTATGTCATCCTTCATGTGCTACATGTGGAATTGAGAAGTGATGTTTCCAACACTACTATGTCTGTATTGTGTAGGATTTTCGTGGTACTGGAGTGAGAGAAAATACGCACTGTATGTATGGTGGTGTTTGCAGAGTTGGTTGTTTGCAACCACGTGCCTGTGATGTGAATATTAGATTTATTACATTCATCTGTGATATAATAGGCAGGTCAGTCTGCCAAGCAGGATTTCAGAGTGTGTTTGCCATAGATTTTGAACTGTGTAGCATAGGTTATAGAATAGGGAAGATCATTAAAGAAAATGGGTGGGGCTGGAGAAAAGAGAGGTGGGGTGACCCACCCCTCTGAAATAGCAAAACTAGGGCAATGATATAAAGAAAGCTATTAACTATTTTAGAGAGGAAAACTACCACCATATATTTTAAAGAATCTGTTTGGTTCTCTAAAGTAAAGGTCTAAGTAATAGGGTTACAATCCTATAGCTAATGTTGGTTACTGTTGAATATCACTTTCTTATTTGGTGTGGCTTGGTGTGTATTAACAAAAAGTCATGATATCTAATCAAATCACCTTATGTATGAAAAAAAGGTGCAGTCAAAAAAGTAATCAGCGTGCACATTAAAGGAATGAAGTCAAAATTGGTGGCCAAACTAGTGGCTACACTTGTATCATTGATTACAATTTTACAGCAAATATTCATTCATTAGTTAGCTAGGTCATGTATTATAAGTATTTTCTAAATTGATAAATCTATTTGTAGGTTGGAGTCCCCTTCACGAAGCTTGTAACCATGGTTGGTATGATATAGTGAGAACCTTGGTCAATGCAGGTGCTGATGTGAATGCTTCAGGCTTTGGAGGAGATACCCCTTTACATGATGCTGCAGTTAACAGCCATTATAAGGTGAAATATTATACATTATAATTTCTTAAGGCCTTTTTTTCCCCCCCATAACAGACTACCTACTTCATTGCATTGTGACTTAACCCGATGACTACCGGCTACTAACTTTCTTAGTAGACAATGCAAGTGTGAGGGCAAAATCATTTGTGAATTGAAAAAAATGATAGAGAACTTATCTTTTAATGGATTTCTGATTTTATTTTTATAAATAGTAGCATAACATTCAATTATTTGTATAAAATTGTATTCTTTAAATTAATGAAGTTTAAAGAGGAATTTAATGAAAAAATTCCTAAAATACGTTTTAGACTGTAAATAAGTACCCTCTAAGAAGAAATGTTTTTTCAAAATTTTTTTTGAGATATTTCCTTTCACCTCAGCACTGGTTCTGCCATCTATGATTGGTATCTAAACCTTTTTCTAGTCTGTTTTCTTTATAATACTGCGTCTGGGCATGTTAAACCTCAGTTGTAAAACTTTTAGCCAACCGTAGTCTAAAGTGTCAATTTCAGTACCAATTATTCCAATTGCTGTATCTCCCATTTGACAAATCATAGGATGATAAGGAAAGCACATGATGAAACGTTGTTCTCTGGATTTTACAATATGAATGTGGGTGGTGCTTATTATAGCAACTGCCATTTTATGTAGAGGTTGTATGTAGTACTGGCCAATAGGGCTTTTCTATAAGCGTTAGAAAAGTTGCTTCTGGAAAAACTGCATGGGATACACGTGACTTTTATTTTTCTTATATAGTAGCTTAAGTCATTCTGCATGGTATATCTGTTTATATTAATTATATTGAAAAATTAACTCAAAATAGATATATTTTTTAGGAAAGAAGTTGATCTACGATTGTTAAGGTTAAGAGTTACCGAGTTGCGAGTGCAAAGTCTTTACATGAATCAGACTTGGAACTTTGAACTGAAAGAGTTTGTGATTTTTTATATTCTTTTGAATTTAAATTAGTAGTTTTAAGCTCAATAATTTAGCATAATTTTATATTTAGTTAATAATAATAATATGATTCAGTATTTAGAATGAAAAACTTGTGTGATTTGTACGTAATACTATTAGTACCACAAGAGAATTATATATTTTT